ATAAGATGACATAAGTAAAAATTCTAGAATCACTTAACAGTTATATATTCACGATCATTCTTAGGAGTCTCCCTAACCACAACCCTAACCATTGTTGCGGTTACGCGCCGAGCCTCCCACGGAGAGGTCAAAGGATCTGGGCCGCGGACCCAATTTTCTGGTTATCTTACGACAAGGAGACCGTCACGGTACGGTTGAACATGCTAAAAAAATGACATGACCAATGACATCCGACCAAAAAAATAGCTGTATCAGTTCACCCCTGGTACTTCATCGAAAAATATCTTGCCATGTTTGAAATGGAATTCTTGCTATTTGGGAAACCAATATAGGATCTATGAATCTGGATTGCGCCCAAATCAGGCGTGTGATATTCTGCCAGTAAGCGATCTTCGTGATTTTTAGTCAACCCGGGGCCCTATCATCAAGAACATGTTTGAACCCATCATCCACGTCCACGTTTAACGGTCATCATTGTGTTCCTGGGCATACCATGAAGCATACCCTCCACTGTACTACCGCGGCATGCTGGACAATCCCTCATTTCTCGTCCATGTGGAGATGATTTACACCTATAAAAACCACAAAAAGATTGCCAGGTCGAATTTCCGGACGGTTTCTGGGCCTTTATTTTTTCTGATGTTCTCCATCACGAATGGCATTTTGGCATTTTCCAGTGCCATTGATCGGTGCAACACGTCATTTCTGATTACCCAAAGGTATTCTCCAAGGCCGACAAAAGACTCCACCACAAAATGTACCCTCTGGTAATTTAACATAGCTATGGAAAATCACCATTTTTAATGGGAAAATCCACTATTAGTGGTCATTTTCAATAGCTACGTTAAATTACCAGAGGGTAAATCTCAAACCTCTTAGCGATTGGCATCGGTTGCTACCCTTTTAGCCAGAGAAAGCACATCTCTCCCACCCAGCAGGTTCCAGTGACATTGTCATCATCCATCTCGGAGGGACCAGCATCACCTTAGCGGCATATCATGGCATCCGCCATGCTTTGGCAACTCTGGCCTTCCATACACCATGAGAAAAAAGATTGCAGCAAACACACAGATATATACATTTACAGCTTATTTCTGCATTTATTTGTGTATTTTGTTTACTTATGATTATAAATGATTATAATATATAATATACTTACAGTAATCTAATGTAATCTATGTATATACATTCTGCCGGTCCACGGGTGATGATCCCGGCACTCCCGGAGCTGCGCCCACGGCCCCTTTTTTGCAGCGACAGTGCTCGGTCTCAGTGGAAAGAGATCAGCTTCACCTTAGCGACAACCGGAACCGGGGCACGGGATGGCACGGGCAGCCAGGTTACTACAGAGTGCCTTTTTTCTTTAAATAGTTACTCAAAAAAAAACATAGGAAATGTAACCCATTCTCACTAGTTCAGTAGGATGTTGGCAATTTCTATCTTTTCAGGGCTTACTACACTGGATTGGAACACATTGGAACCATGTGTGATCTTGCTAAACTACAAGTAGTTGACCCTGGTTGACCCGCAGGTCCCCCGCATGCACCGATGAACTTGGGACATCTTGGGACCCGGCCACAGTGAAGCTGGAAGTCGCATTGCGATGCCCGTCTCATATCTATATTGCAATCATGGTTTCATCTCTAATGTACCTGCAAGGTGGCAGTGTCACACTACGGGGAGCTTGATGAGGTGCAAAATGTAGAATTTCTTGCTGTATATAAATGTCTTGCAACAATCGCAACGCCACACGCAAAAAAAACATGAAAAAAATTAAAAAAGCATCCAGCCATATGCCCTGGATTGGTTTAAGGGAAAATCTCCAGGAAACCATGTTTTTTCCATCAAATCTCGGTTTCTCATTGATCGGGCTCTTGGGGCTCTGCATCATGTATATACATGTATATAGGTGCCACGACGCCCCCCCTCCCCCTGCGCCTGCCATCCCAAAATGCCTGAAAATCCTCTAGCGACGCAGGCCGGCAGAAATTCCCGAGGAATACTCCTGCTGGGTCGCCATAAAAGGTGCGCGCAGGAAATTTCAGGAATCCCAGAACCTGTGATCACTCGGGGCGTGGCTCAAAACCTTAAGTATGTTTTGGGAACCATAATAAAATCTACAAATGGCTGATATCCTATATAGTTAAATTAGATATATATATATATAATCTACCGTATATAATTCCAATGAATGCGATACGTTACATGACATATATGTACAGTACCTTGTATATTATAATATATATATATATTGCCCGAAATTTGCCGGCTTCAAGAATATCAGATTGGGGTTCGCCCATTTTGAGATGGCAATAGACCATCCCAAGCCGTCAGCGCAGAATACTCATCGATACGTTCTCTGGTTAGATCCCTCAGTAGGAATATCACCGTCGAGAATCAGGAGAGTGAGAATTGTATTTTTTTCGATTTGGGATGTCTAAACCAGTTCTGTGTTTTCCCTCCTAAACTCCCATACGCCTCCAAAAGTTTGCCTGTTTCCTGATTATTAAAGGACACCGCTCATTTTGGAACATCAACAAAAATCATTTTGGAACACCAAAATCTGGTCATGTTGGAACATCAAAAAAATGTTTTAAAAAAAAACACCAATCCATCAAGCCCCAAAATTTTCTCCGCTGTTTGTTAAAAAGTGTCTAACTTGGACAACATTTGCAGCACGTTGGACCTTGAATTTTTCGTTGGTGGCGTGCTTGCATGTATTTGCAGTATTTTGGAGCTATACCCTGCAGTCTTGCATTATATTATATGATATGATATGCATGTTTGAATATGTTTGAGCTGAAGTCTCTGACTTCTGCATATCTTTGCAGCATGTTTGATAAATCTGCCATAGCTGCATGGTTTCCTGGCAATCCAAGCTGGCCATGGACAACCGATGTCACCCTTGGGTTAATGCCAATGGATACCCAATAGTACTGTTCTCATTCTGTTCACAGGATATCATTTGATAGATTGATAGATAGATAGATAGATAGGTAGATAGATAGATTAGATAGATAGAGAGAGAGAGAGATAGATAGAGAGATAAGATAGATAGAGAGATAAATAAGATAGATAGATAGATAGATAGATAGATAGATTAGATAGATTAGATAGATTAGATAGATTAGATAGATTAGATAGATTAGATTAGATTAGATTAGATTAGATTAGATTAGATAGATAGATAGGTAGATAGATAGATAGATAGATTGATAGAGAGAGAGAGATAGATAGAGAGAGAGATAGATAGATAGATAGATAGATAGATAGATAGATAGATAGATAGATAGATAGATAGATAGATAGATAGATAGATAGATAGATAGATAGATAGATAGATAGATAGATAGATAGATAGTTCACATGGCAATATCGATATACATATCACATATCAATACGTGTATTAGTGTATTAGATTATATATGTTACAATACCCATTTCAACCCCACTACTAAGCCAATTGTATGCCATTTGTAGCTGGTTCGGGCCGGTTCAGGTCCTGTCTCGAGATCACTCCATCGCCATCTGTGTCAAACCTTGGCAAGTTTTCCAAGGCATCGGCCAGCTGGGGGCAGTGATGTCCCCAGCTAAGGTCAAAAAGGATATCTCTACAAGAAAAGTGTTGCACATGCACACCTCTTACTTTCTCTTGCTCTTTCCCTTTCTTATATATATATGTGTGTGTTGTGTTTCTCTTTTCTATTGCTATATCAATATCTATTGGTATTTAATGCGTGTCCATCTATCTGTCGGTCTGTCTATCTCTATCTATCTACCCACCTAGCTCTGCAGTATGTTTGTTTGCACATGTATCTTAATATGTTTGATGTTTTGTGTGCGCGAGCAGATGGGCAGACATGAAGACAGGATAGGATAAGTTAGGACCAAATCAAATTAAGATAAGAATTACAAGGTGATTCCTCACAGGTAGATAGATCATAGAATGTCCAGAATTAAACACATTCTGAAATGTCCATTGCCACTGTATTTTGCCTACACTCGAATCCACCCCTTGGGTCTGGTGGTAACATGCTCTCCACTAGCGATTCTATACCTGCCTTTGTGAGTATACGCACCGCACATTTGGGACCACCTGGCAGGGCTGACCAGCCCTGTATCATGTATGAATCTGTGGCATAGCAGGGGGGGAAACGCTTCCACGTCATCCTTTGAGTTCACAAGCTCCTCTTGCCACCCCCGAACCCAAATACGTCAAGCTGTACAAATATGTATAATTTGATATAATACATTTCCAGTTCTACCCCTCTCTCTCTCTCTCCCTCTCTCTCTCCTCTCTCTCTCTCTCTCTCTCGCTCTCTCTCTCTCTCTCTCTCCCCCTCCCTCTCTCCCTCTTACTACAGGGCACATGGGTGGGAGAAATGAAGCCGCAACTTGTTGATACCCTTCGCTGCTGACACTCCTGTCTACCCTGGTAGATCGCTTGTTTTTTCACTTGCCCTTAGCTTAGCTGAATGCTTCCAGAAAGCGATAGAGAGAGAGAGAGAGGGGGAGAGAGGAGTAGGAGTAGTAGTAGTAGTAGCAGCAGCAGCAGCAGTAGTAGCAGCAGCAGTAGTAGTAGGGGTAGGAGTAGGAGTAGGCGTAGGAATAGGAGTAGGAGTAGGAATAGGAGTAGGAATAGGAGTAGGAGCTCTAGTAGCAGGGCAAGGGAAGAAAGGGAGAGGGAGGGAAAGAGAGAAAGAGAGCGGGCACATCACACCTTCAGTTTTTATGAGAAAACGGAAAGCCTCTCACCTGCATCAATTTATCATGTTCAAACGAAACAGTATTCCCAGCCGTGCTTGGTTGCCAAGGAGTAAAGCCTCCCGAAAAAAACAAAATGGCAAAATGAAAACACATGGAGACACCCAGCTGAACCGAGGAGCTTTTCAAAGAGGCCCTTTGCGCTGGGTGAAACCGCCTCGGCTTGAGTTTGTGAAAAAATGCACCAGTTCTGTGGGCTCGTGTCGCTATTTTTTCTATCTCAAATTTATGGGCGAGTTACAGGCGGTTGTAGATGGTTCTGTGCGCATGTCTGTGCAAAGCGTTAGGTCCACATCCCCTTGGGGGCCAAACTGCTCCAGCAACTCCCGCCATCACTGGCACTGCCTAAGTGCAGCCGAGGGAGCGCGGTGCATACACTCCAACAGTAGGTGGACCATCAAATTCGCAAACACGCTGGCGGTTGAACCGCCCCATTCAGCCCCTCCCAAAAACACGAGATTCAGATCATGATCCCAGGTCTCCTAATCCACGAACCAAACAGGTCAATGCTGGGCCTTGCACCTAAACCCTGACTAAGAGCCCCTTGAACAAAGTTGAGAAAAAATCTGACCTGGAAACCCAAGGATTGTTTTGGAGGATAGTTTTCGTATCACTATATAACTAATGTCAACCCTGGATTCATAAACCACGGTGTATTAATTTGGTGGTCCCCAAATAGTGATAATCTGAGACTTAAATGGTTTTCCCCGCAATTACGCAGCCTAGGGGTCTAGGGGTTTATTAATCCAGGGTTGACGTTATATTTCCCAGTTCTTTTCATAAGGATTCCCGCGATGCTAATCTTTTCGTGTCATCTCACTGATGCAAATGCCATCAAGAGTCGCCGGCTCCTGCGACCTCATGAACCAAGCTGGTCATCATCTGACTTCAGGTTTCAAACCTCCCAAAATCAAAAAGGAATCGTTTTCTATATTTGTTCAAGTTTGCTGTTTTGTTTTGTAGTTTGTTTTCCATGTCTTGTTCATGTTTTTTCGATGCGTTTTCCCCAAGGAATTGGGAAGAAATGAAAGATCAACAACTGCAAAACCCCCACCCACCCACCACCTACCCACCCACCTCCCCCCAAAAAAAAAACAAAAAAAAAAACGGAAAAATGAAAATCAAATGTGGGAATGAAAAAAGTAGAGCTTGATAAAAACCAAAACAAACAATGATTAAACACAAAACATGTTTTGGCTGGGCCCCGTTTGTGGCTCCAAGTTTCTTCTAATGCTGTGCAGGTGCTTCAAACGTAGAAACAGAAGGTGTGCGCACGTAATTGGTTACACATACACTACATACTTACATTATAACACTGACACCATATACAGTATGCGTGTGAAAAAATACATAACATACGTGTATTATATGTGTATACATTTACAGTTTGCATGCATATACATATATATATATACACTGGTAGGACAAAAGTTGCGCTTGCTGAGCTTCCCACAGTGGACATGTTTGGTTTCTTCTTCTGCACGCCCTTTCCCCGTAGAATCTAGCATGGAGCTTTGTCGTACCCCGGTCGCATTTCCACCCTCCAAAAGCTTTAAAATCTTATATATTTAAAAGAGGGTGATCATTGACCGTCCCACACCTGTCACACAAAACGGACTTGAAAATGTGATCCACAGTTGACCGAGATGGGATGTTTTGTAAAGCTTTCAAGAAGCATAAACTTTGTTCCGCCTGAGGGTACAAAAAGCTTATTTAGTGGGAATTGTCAAGTCATTTGCTGATTTTTGCACCTGCTTCAGCTTGGTCATTACTCCACATAACATGTCTGCTTCCATCCTCTTTGTCTGCACTGCTACACATGTGCCGTGAAGCATGGTACAAAAAGCTTATTTAGTGGGAATTGCCAAATCATTTGCTGATTTTTGCACCTGCTTCAGCTAGGTCATTACTCCACATACCATGTCTGTCTCCATCCTCTTTGTCTGCACTGCTACATATGTGCCATGACGCTGGGTACAAAAAGCTTATTTAGTGGGAATTGTCAAGTCATTTGCTGATTTTTGCACCTGCTTCAGCTAGGCCATTACTCCACATAACATGTCTGTCTCCATCCTCTTTTTCTGCACTGCTACACATGTGCCGTGACGCGCTGGTAGGACAAAAGTTGCGCTTGTTGAGCTTCCCACAGTGAACATGTTTGGTTTCTTCTTCTTCTGCACATCCTTTCCCCACAGAATCCTAGCATGGAGTTCTGTCGTACCCCGGTCGCATTTCCACCCTCCAAAAGCTTTAAAATCTTATAAATTTAAAAGAGAGTGATCATTGACCGTCCCACACCTGTCACACAAAACGGACTTGAAAATGCGATCCACAGATGACCGAGATGGGATGTTTTGTAAAGCTTTCAAGACGCATAAACTTTGTTCCTCCTGAAGGGTACAAAAAGCTTATTTAGTGGGAATTGCCACGTCATTTGCTGATTTTTGCGCCTGCTTCAGCTTGGTCATTACTCCACATAACATGTCTGTCTCCATCCTCTTTGCCTGCACTGCTACACATGTGCCGTGAAGCATGGTACAAAAAGCTTATTTAGTGGGAATTGCCAAATCATTTGCTGATTTTTGCACCTGCTTCAGCTAGGTCATTACTCCACATACCATGTCTGTCTCCATCCTCTTTGTCTGCACTGCTACATATGTGCCATGACGCTGGGTACAAAAAGCTTATTTAGTGGGAATTGTCAAGTCATTTGCTGATTTTTGCACCTGCTTCAGCTAGGCCATTACTCCACATAACATGTCTGTCTCCATCCTCTTTTTCTGCACTGCTACACATGTGCCGTGACGCGCTGGTAGGACAAAAGTTGCGCTTGTTGAGCTTCCCACAGTGAACATGTTTGGTTTCTTCTTCTTCTGCACATCCTTTCCCCACAGAATCCTAGCATGGAGTTCTGTCGTACCCCGGTCGCATTTCCACCCTCCAAAAGCTTTAAAATCTTATAAATTTAAAAGAGAGTGATCATTGACCGTCCCACACCTGTCACACAAAACGGACTTGAAAATGCGATCCGCAGTTGACCGGGATGGATGTTTGGTAAAGCTTTCAAGAAGTTCCTCCTGAAGTATATATATGTATGTATATGTATATATGTATATATGTATGTATGTATGTATGTATGTAGGTAGGTAGGTAGGTAGGTAGGTATGCATGTATGTATGTATGTATGTATGTGTTTACATAATTATATATATATATTGTATGCATGAAAACATGAATATCCCGCGGGTTGTTTCTGCATCAGGAAGAAAAATCCGTGCCCCAGCCGACTTCTGGTCCAAGCTTCAGAGGCATACTCCATCCCTGGCTCCTCCTCCACGTACATGTGCTTGAATTCCTCCTCCAGTCGCATCATCCTGGAGCTCTTGAGGTCAAAGAGGGATGCCACCAAGCCTTGGAAAGGAGGGCCCTCCAAGGGAGGTTAGATGGTCAGACGTCTCGATGAAAACCGTGGCGAAAATCCGGTTTGAAAGTAAAGCATTGGTTGCCAAACCTAATTAAATTCATTCTGTGTGTGGGTGGGTGGGGGGGCCGGGGGGGGGGGGGGGGGGGGGGGAGGGGGGGGGGGGGGTGGGGGGGGGGTGGGGGGGGGGGGGGGGGGGGGGGGGTGGGGGGGTGGGGCGGTGGGGGGGGGGGGGGGGTGGGGCGGTGGGGGGGTGGTGGGGGGGGGGGGTGGGGGGGGTGGGTGGGTGGGGGGGGTGGGAATGCTGAAGTTTCAACGACGGATCTGTGGTTAGCCTTACAGGTCACCACGTGAGTCTAACACTGGAGGCAGGGAAGCGGCACATCATCCACCAGCTTCATTCTCCTACCCACCCCAGGATGACCAGCATCACTACACTCCACCTCCGGTGCCCATGGGAGTCCCCACAAATGGTGCCAACAATGCAGCTAAGGAAGCCAACGATGACACCTAGCCTCAGCAGCAGCACGCAGCCTCCTATGGCACCTTTTACAGGATGTTAAAGTGCCAACTGCTGCTATCAGTTCTCAGTGTGACCATGGTAAGATCATGAGGGGCCAAAGACACCTCAAAATAACAGAATCTGCTTTGGTTGACTTTTTCAGTATCAGTATCACACCATCCAGTTACATGGGGGCCAATCATTGTGAAAAGTCTGAGACTTGCAGCCCAAAAACTTCCCACAGTATCCCATGTCACCGTAGAAGCCTTGAAGCCACAGGAAAAGGCCTTGGAGAAATTGGTTGGTGACCTTGAGAGAATCTATGATTGAACATGCGCGTTTAAAAAAAAAACATGTACATATAATTTGATTAGAATCGCGTAACTCCAGTTGGTGAATCAAAATATATTATCTTAAAAATAACCTTCCTGCTTGCGTACGTTGGAAACTGCATTTCTCCTCATTTTTGGAATTTTCTTGGCAAAACTTAAAGCTAGAACACTCCCCATGGAAATACAGTATCTCTTTTTAGGTGATCTTCCTGTCAAAGAAAAAAGTGTAAAAGGAGAGATTCCAGAAATGTGTAGATTCTATGGCTTTCCCCTCAAAAATCTATGGGAGTTGAAGCCCGCTTCTGCCGCCGAAACACCGTACTGCAAGAAGTTGCGGGGGAAGCCCACCACCTGGCAGCGCGGGTCTTGACTTAGCTATTTCAAAGGGTTCTAGAAAACAAATCAGCAAATTGACGAATCATTCACCATCATTTTCCATTGAGCCTTTACAGCCCCCTGTCTCTTTTTGCAACCCCAAAAAACTGAACAGCGACTTAACAGTACCATCTCACTTACCACTAGTATCATTCCAACCCTGGATTCATAAACCCCAAACGGCTGTTTTTCATTTGGGGGGGTACCATTCCCAGGTAATCACTATTTAGGGAGTACCCCCCCAAATGAATATGCCATGGCCTGCATCATGCCAGGTTGGAACATCGCTGAACCCAGGATGCCGAAGATCAGCGGGGTGTATTTCAGCACGCACATCACGCCTGGGCGGGGCTGGGGCTGAAGCGGTCAGCACATGACCCACAAAAATCCGGGGAAAAACGGGAAAACCCATGTTTTTTCCAAGATTTATTGATCTATTCATGACCGAAGGAAGTTTAGAATAAGTCAAACTTCCGACAATATGGACATATAAAAAGCATCAGAGGTGGAGCAGAAGAATAGAGAAGAGAAGAGTAGAAGAGAGAAGATCAGAGAAGAGAAAGAATCAGAAGAAAGAAGATGCAGGTGTGCGAAAAGGTAGGAAAGTCGCGAAACACTGCGTTTTTCCAATGATTTGTGGCTCCAGAGGGTCGAAAAGTAGGCTCGCTAAAGCGGCGGGTGCGGAGCCAGCTGGCCAGATGAGAGCTGAAAATTGCACGCCGTTGTGGCGCGAAGCACATTTCCAAGTCAAAATGCACAAAACACCTCAGCTCCGGACCACTTTTGGAAGTTGAGATGTCGAAAAAGTGCGCGCCATTGTGGTGCGAAGCACATTTCGAAGTCAAAATGTTAAAACCATCAGGGGTGCGGACCACTTTTGGAAGTTGAGATGTCGAAAAAGTGCACGCCGTTGTGGCGCGAAACACATTAATTTCGAAGTCAAAACGTTAAAAACACCAGGGGTGCGGACCACTTTTGGAAGTTGAGATGTCGAAAAAGTGCACGCCGTTGTGGTGCGAAGCACATTCCGAAGTTAAAATGTGAAAAACACCAGGTGGTCGGATCACTTTTGGACGTTCAGATGTTGTTTCGCCTGCCACGGCAAGGGATTGTGGACCTTGTCAAAAGTGAGCAAAACGTGAGGGTTCTGTAGCATTTCAAAAAAGATAGCAGGAGTGGGACATTTGAAGAGGATCTGCAAAGATGCATTTTCCGTGGCAGGCGCAGAACAAAGACATGTTCACCAGAGCTGTTAGGAGGTCAGGGCGCTGATTTCCTGAGAGGGTTGCATTTTGGAGCATTAGGTCTTCAGTTTTGGGAACATGATTTTGCGTGACAGGTGCCGCATTTCGTATGACCTGGCATCACTTTTTCGTGGCAGGCGCAGTACTTTAGACAGGTGGAAAAATCGCAAAACCCATTGGTACGAGGCCGTCAACTCTGCACTCAACTTTCCATTTTTGAAGGATGTCTCGCAGAATTGCTTCGTGTTTGATGTTGTCAACACAAAAACATGAGGAAGTCTCGCTGAATTGTGTCTTTTCGGAACGGTTCAGTTTCCAGCAGCTTAGCCTCCAGGTGGGTTTTTCTGGTCGCCAAAAGTTTTTGCCGCCAGACGCAAGCACCTCCAAGATTTCCGTGGCGACGTGGCACACGGGTTTGATCATCCGGACCGTAAGCGAAAGCAGGCGACTGTGTCTTTTCTGACCGGTTCATTTTCCAGCAGCTTAGCCTTCCGTGTCAGTGTGTGTTTTTTCTGACAGCACAAAGGTGCAGTGTCACATTGCCGTACCGATGCCGTTTGGTCTTGTCAGTCTTTTCTGACGGCACGAAACAAACAGCGGTGTGTCCATTTTCCTGGCCCCTTGCTTCGATGACGACTCCGGTCTTGCAAGCTTTCGTACTTGTCGTTTCTGATGGTAATCCTCCGCACTGGTCACGTTGCAATCTGCCGGGGTCAAAAGCTTTGGGACAAATAGATAGGTAAGATGGTCAGATGGATGGATGGACAGACGGATGGATGGATGGATAAGTAGATGGGTGGATAGGTAGATAGGTAGATGGGTACGAAGATAAATAAATAGATGGATGGATGGATAGATAGATCGATCGATCGAAAGATCAATAGATCCATTAGATCGGTTAGATCGATTAGATAGATAAATTAGATAGATTAGATAGATAAATTAGATAGATTAGATAGATAATTTAGATAGATCAGATAGATTAGATGGATTAGATTAGACAGTTTAGATAGAAAAGTTAGATAAGATAGATAAGATAGATAAATATAGATAAGAGAGATAAGATAGATAAGATAGATAAGATAGATAAGGTAGGTAGATAAGACAGATTAGATAGATTAGATAGATAAGATAGAAAAGATATAGGTAGGTAGAAAGATAGATAGATAGACAGATAGATAGACAAATAGAATACCCTCAAGATCAAACAAACCCCCTTGTCCGACAAATTAAATCCCCAAATCTGGGGTCTAGAATGGTGTTCCTTTAAAAAACGCAAGGTTTTCAAATCTCTTAACGGAGAGCATGCTAGAACCCCAAAGTCTACGGAGGGGTAGGGTTCTAGAATCATGTTCTTGTAAGCTTTAAAATCATGGAAAGTTGACAAGATTTTTTGGAAATCTCCTTGTTATGATTTAAAGCAAAATGTTGCATTTCATTTGCACACAGTTTTTGTCCTCCCGTACGCATTGCACGGTTCAGGTCATCAAAATGTTTTGGATTTTTCTGTTTTTGGATGATTTCTTTAAGGCTGCGTCAGGCCCACCTTTTCCGGAAAATATAAGCAGCACCTTTTTTTAAAGCAAGGTCGGGATGGATGGAAAAATCGATTGCAACCTTTTGACCCCCTTTCCCCCCACAAAGACTGCGTCGTCCAGTCATCTTTTGAAATCACCCTCTTCCTTTTAAAACATATCTTACCGCATTACAGTCTGGCAAGATTATCGCATTGAAGGACAGATTGCCTTGCCCATGACCAGTCTCAAAACTTCCTGGGCCATCAGTCTCTCCCCCGCCTTTGTTCTCCGAAAATTCTCTATCAAATGTGTTGCAGACGGATGTAAAATGCAGAAGCGATGTGACAAAATGGCTAAGTTTGGGTTACAGCTGGCCATCAGTCAGCACCTGTGGGTCAGCACCTGCAGCTGCTCAACACCGTTTAACCTCCTTTTTCCAGAAATTTCAAACCAAGCGACATTGAAACCACCTGGTTTGAAAATGGAAATCTTGATCGACCAAAACCAGGGATGCTAATTCCAAACATGTTTTGCACCTTCGTGCAGAGACCTCATCACGACTTGGTTCCTTTTTCTGCACTCCGAAACAATGACCTTTTCTTGTGGTCTGTTGGAATCAATTCATACCACAACAAGGCTCATATATCCAAACTTTCAGGGTTCTAATTTGATAGCCTTTTGGAGTTCTAAAATCATAGTGGTGATGATTTTAGAACTTTCAACAGGAACCCCAGGGGGGGGATTCTAGACACCTCGATCTTGAGGGTATCAGATAGATAGATAGGTAGATAGATAGATAGGTAGATAGATAGATAAATAGATAGATACATAGATAGATAGGTAGGTAGGTAGATAGTCAGAGAAAGAGAAAGAAAGAGAGAGAAAGAGAAGAGACCTCAACCACCTGTCGGTCCATCAGTGGCTTCGCTCGGCCATCCGTGACTCACAACAACCAACCTCTCCTATAGGTTTCCTATTTTTGAAACTTCCGCCACGGCCTTGTGCGGTACTATTGGTATTCATATTATTAGCGGATGATCCCAAAAATTGTCTGCAAATGATGCAAATGTCTCAAAACAGTGGGGTGGAAGTTTTCACCATTTCGGAATGGATGTTTGGCTGTGTGGGGCCATGATTCGGAGCTCCCTTATGGTGACTCATGACTTGAGTAAGATGTGATAAGCCAATGAGGATGACCAATCTCACAGTCTCAGCGGAACACGGGCCCCCGCCAAGTGCGGATATGGGTGAGTCCTATTTTCGATTCGCAGTAGGGTAAGGTGAAGACGCTGAAATTTTGGGGGGCTGGATCTCACAGCATGCAGCTTCTCAATTCAATCCACCAATAATTCTTCCTACAGCAAAATGCCGATAATATGCGATTTTGTGGGTCCTAGATCGGAGACACTTGAAGTGGTTACAACAAATCCCATCATAGCTCATTTGTCCATATTTGTCCTTACTGGGTCTGATGGGTGCTGATCAGACAATTAATTATGGCCCACTTCAAGGCTTGAACCAAACAAGGAGTTCGTCATCCCCTTTTAAACAATGCAAATGCGAACCGAGACGCTGAAATACGCTGAAATATGCCCGTACCAAACGACGGGATGGCAATGGAAAAAAAAATGGAAAAAACTTTACACCAGCAACCAACAACCCTTTACCCCTGCCGATTCGCAACTTGGTGATGTTCCATTCCAAGGTGCCCCAATTGCTCTGCCACTTCATGTTGCAGTCGGTACCTCACATGCAACGCACCGGCAATGCAGAGGGTATCAGATGGCTAACTTCGATCCAATGAAGCCAGGTAGCTCTCTTTGTCAGGAAAGGTCCAGGTGCAGTCAGACCAAACATATTCGAACGATGGCGGCTTATTGTAGACGTAGATGAGGCCAATCAGCACCTGGCGAAACGCTTCTGAGGTTTCTGGTGAATGACAAGGTCAGGCAACTAAGGGTCACCAGTTGCGAAATTGCCATGCTATTATTATACGGAAGATGACAAAAGATCGAGAAATCAATAGATCACAGAAACGCTCTACGCGCATGGCTCACTGGCAAAACTGCATCCACAGTGGCACCGTCAGGGCCGAAGTGATGGTGCCAAGAATGGCGAGCAAATTGCCCGGCATGCATGGGCCAGCAGTGGGAGCACCTCACAGATGGCAAACATGTCTTGGCTAATTGTGCTTCCCAAATGGAGGTTTCCTAAGTCATAGTGCTACCCCCAAATCATCCAAATTAGGCCATTGGAGTATTAAGACCCATGGTTTTGGGGGTCCTCCATTTTAAGAAACCCCCAACTAGATCCAATTGTATGGAGATGTTTTGGGGATGTTCATCGCTCCTTATAGGCCGCCTCGATTTCAAGTGCTGCCTCGATAAACTGCACTCATTCCAGTGGTTAAAATATCTAGGACCTAAGGGCTTGACTCGACCCATACCCAACTAGGCCTATAAAATATTGTATATATATATATATTATAAAAAATACATTAAACATATACCCATATGTACGAATATTATATATATATATTGATATACTTACTTATTGATTTATATGTTTTAAGAGCAGTTTATGCATTTATGTATTTATTGGTAAAGACGGCACATGTGTACATATATATATACTATATACTGTATACTGTGTATGTGTGTGTGTGTATGTGTGTATGTGTGTATGTGTGTATGTGTGTGTGTATGTGTGTATGTGTGTATGTGTGTATGTGTGTGTGTGTATGTGTGTATGTGTGTATGTGTGTATGTGTGTATGTGTGTGTGTGTATGTGTGTATGTGTGTATGTATGTATGTATGTATGTATGTATGGATGGATGGATGGATGGATGTATGCATGTATGCATGTATGCATGTATGCATGTATGCATGTATGCATGTATGCATGTATGCATGTATGCATGTATGCATGTATGCATGTATGTATGTATAAATGTATAAATGTAATGTTATGTTATGTTATGTAATGTTATGTTATGCTATGCGATGCGATGTTATGTTATGTTATGTTATGTATGTAATGTATGCTAATTATGTATGTTATGTATGTTATGTATGCTTTTGTGTGTGTGTGTTATGTGTGTGTGTGTGTGTGTTATGTATGTTATGTTATGTTATGTTATGTTACGTTACGTTATGTTATGTTATGTATGCATGTATGTGTACATATATATATATATGAATGCGTGTAAATATATATATATGCATGCAAAATCATGCAAATATATTATAGACAGATTTCGGTACCGCTTGAGACAGCCTCCCTATTCCACCTATTTGGCGACGATGGTGATTGTGTAATTATATATATATATCACATATTTATATATACATATTTATCAGTATGTTGTTTCTGCTTCATCACCCATCCATATCCCACTCAGGATCCACGATTACTGGGCTTCCACCAACCAAGACTGGCTGCCAAATGGCTCCACCCATGGATTTTGGTCGACATGCCCTGTGGTAATTAAAAGCTGCAATGAGAAATCCCCTATAAAATGGAGGCTTGAATGGAAAAAATAAGTATGAATATGGGAAATATTATAGTTATCTTCAATGGTAAATCCCTTATCCCTAATGGGAAAATCCATCATAAAAATAGAAGTCAAAACCACCCACCATCTGAGGTTCAACAAAACCAGCGGCGCCGAGGTACCGGTCATCTTCCCGGACCCGAGCGCTGCGAAAACGATATATATGGAGCTCCCAAGCTGCGGCATGCCATGAATCATGGTATCTGGGTAAATTAAAATATTTCACTAACCTGAATTAAGGCCATTTGGGGATGATTCCCCTTATTAACCATGATTTCCAGTGAGGTCGCAGTGAGTTCGTTATAATTTATCCAGATGGTTGACAAATGTTGACAACACCTTCCTGTAGGCTTCCCAAATTTCGCGAAATGTTCGTTTGGCGATGACAAGTAATTACGAGAAATCCAAAGCAATGACAGCAAAATAATTTATAGATTCTATTATGGTTGTGCCACTTGGTGCGCACAACCATGGGTTCCCCCCTATATCCTCTCTATACCCAATGGATATAGTCTTGGCAGTCTTGTTGGGGCCTACAATTCCTACAATGACCATACGCGAATGGATGCACCATATGCAAATGGATGCAAATGGTAATGGAGCCTTTATCCAAATTGAGATCATGGCAAGAATAAGTCAAACTCACAGATGTTTGGATAACTGAACTTCCCAAGTCTGCACTGAATTGGAACCTCTGTGTGATTTTCAATCCAACATAACCCAACAAGCCATGGAAAAAAAGGGGGCGCATATACACTGTAAGTAATCTGTAACCTCGAACAACTTGTTCCACGAATGACATACGAATTTATCGAAGTGATTTAATTGGAATCTGCTGGAATGATGGTGATACCTGCAGGACAGTCTCAGTGACATGCTGAGACTCCAACCATCCGCAGCCTGGGCTGCCATGCTGCCAGGCTTCAAGATTTTGCTCCAAAATCAAAGTGGATAGACTATGATGAACATGAAGAACATGATGAACATGATGAATATGTTTTTTTATTATATTTTAACAAGCGTTCCATTTAAGTGTGTTTCTGAAAAAGGCATAAAAAGGCCATGTTTCAACTCCGGGATAACGCTCAAAACTTGGAGGATCATCCCAGTGAGTAAGGCTCGGCTAAGGACATACCTTGCTCCGAAATTCGGATCACCCAAGAAATCTCCAAGGTACCCTCTGGTAATTTAACATAGCTATGGAAAATCACCATCTACAGTAGGTAAATCACCTATAAATGGGCCATTTTCAAATAATTTCAATAGCTATGTTAAATTACCAGAGGGTAGAGCAGCTTAGTTTCAAGTTGTATGTCCATAGGGATAATATGGGATAATAACACTTGCAAATCAGAAAGCACCCAGAATCGGAAATCGGATACCGGAACTATTAATATCCATGAATCAATTCAACTCTTGGCATGATCGTGCACGGAAAAGCGCCCATGGGACAAATTTTGGCCGCCTACCCCTCTCTACCAGATTGGGCCTCCTCTTCTTCGGGCTTCTTGTGGCCAATGAGGTCCTTTGCAACTGACATCGGGACTTCGATAATCAAACATGGCTATGGGAAATCCACTTCTACTTGAATGTTTCAATAGGAAAATAATCTATAAAGAAATGATGAAATTTCCATATCAACCACTGACGGAATTAGAATGAAATCCAATGTGCAGGTGGTTGTTATTGGTGAGGTCCCCTTGAGGGCGTCGCGGAGTGTTGTCGTTTTTTCAGGTTTGCGTATTCTTCGAATCACTCATTTCATTCCACGTTTTTACACGGTTTTCTTGTGCTTCTTTGCATTTTCTGCTGTTTTTACTGTGTTTCGTGACGTGCTTCCTGTGATAGTTGGGTTGTCGGCATGCCAGTGTTTTTTGGGGGGGTGGGGTGGGGGGTGGGGTGGGGGGGGGGTGGGGGGGGTTGGGGGGAATACGTTCTTGTTTATTAACGTTCCTGCATCTGCGTTATTGACACGCTTTTCAATTTGCAAGTGACGGTTTGACGGATGGGGTGGGGGGGTGGGGGGGGGGGGGGGGGGGGGGGGGTTGGGGGGTGGGGGGGTGTTGGGGGGGGGCTGATAACGTTCTTGTTTATTAACGTTCCTGCATCTGCGTTCTTGACACGCTTTTCACTTTGACGCCTTCGGTTTTGACTTTGTGCCGCAACATCTGGCGTGGTTTCTTTGAGACAATGGATTTTGTTGTTTCCCAAACAACGTCGTCCAAATGAAAGAGTTTTTACACTAACCACACGTGCACCATCATCATTATCAACATGCTCATCATCTTCTTCTTCTTCTTCTTCTTCTTCTTCTTTTTCTTCTTCTTCTTCTTCTTCGTCTTCTTCTTCTTCTTGAACATCATCATCATTATCAACATAATCATCATCATCATCATCATAATCATCATATTCTTCTTCTTCTTCTTCTTGAAGATCATCATCATTATCAACATAATCATCATCATCATCATCTTCTTCTTCTTCTTCTTCTTGAACATCATCATCATTATCAACATAATCATCATCATCAACATGATTATCAACATGATTATCACCTGTCCAAAGCTTTGAAAGCAATGTATGCACAATGAGGTAAAAAAAAGTTACTTCGGAGACCCCTCTTGGAAGATGCATTTTGACAACCCTCGCGAAATGCAGGTTTTTAAGGCGTTGTGCGTTGAAAAACGCGCGACGCCCTCAAGAGGACCTTCCCTTGTTATTGGCCATGTTCATTGGGTTGGTTTAAGGGTCAATCGAAACCGGAAACCATGATTATTAAGTTACACGATGGTATTACCATGATTCTTGCTACCAGAAAAAGGAGGCTAACTAGTGCAAATTCTCCCAGCATCCTGTTCTACAAAACCATAGTTGGTCAGCCATATTTCCATATTAGACATTCCCAGTAATATCCCCATTCTATCCCACCTACATGATAACCATTGATGTTCCCTAAAATCTCTGGGACTGGTAGATGTTTTTTGTCTGTTGCCATGGCTGCCCAACGGATACGTCACTGGGCCTCCGGAATCCGTCCGCCGCGCTCACGGACTCGGCGCAACCTGGACCCCGGTGGCCACGAAAGCCAAATAGATTGCTTTTCCAAGGAAAATCGACCTAAAAGCCATGGGTTCTTCCCCAGTTAATTGGGTGTTCCTGCACATTTTCCCACCAATTCTGTGAGAATTGGATAGCCAGTTTTTTTTGCGAAGTCCCTAGTCACCTGGGCCAGGCCCCCGCCTGCTCTTAAGCAGTAATGGCATGACCACCGCATCAAAATCCTGTGGGTAGAGTTGCAGAAGTTGTCGCGTCTGGACCTGGGCATCAGGACATACAGTGACTCATACAAGGCAAGCAATGGATGTTTGCACAGTTACTCATGCTATCTCATGCTTCTAACTGTTACGAAGCCTTTCTCCAGCACACATCAAATCACTGGGGCCATCCAGGAGGTCACTTAGATCCTACAATACCTACATGAGCCCCTTCCCCCCAATTTTAGAAAAGCACACCAGCATTGAAAGTGTATGGCCGAGCGACAACGTTGTGCTATTTCTCATGTCTATTGTCTCACGTCTAA